GGATTTTTTTTACTGAAGAAATTCTCTTGCAACGCTTCTTGGACGATGGGCCAATATTGCCACAGACCTTAGCTAGTATAAGAGGGCCTTGACAAATCTTCCAAGTTTAATTTTGATAATGCATTTCTTCTTAAAACAGGCTCATTAAAACCGGTAGACAAAATGGCAACTAAAGCAGATGTCGAACCGATGGACGACGACTATAGAAAAATCTTGAGGAGGTGCAGAGAAATGCTCGTGAAAGACATGGATCCGGAAGAAGTTTTACTGAAGATGGTAGATCCATTCCTATTCACTACAGAAGACGAAAAAAGAATAAAGTCGAGGGAACTGACTCGACAACAGCAATGTGAAATATTGTTAGATATGCTACCAAGAAAAGGTGCAGCAGCTTATGAAAACTTTAAAAAAACAATTGAGAAAGTTCATCCACATCTTACAGGAACAATCCTAGAAGCCGGTAAGTGACCTTCAGCGACGGAAATTCTCCTAAGTATGGGTGAATGGCAGTGGACGGATATTCATCAAAGCAAACACGTGCGTTGTATCAGTCTTTGATCAGTACCTTAAGGGCAAAAACCTTAATAATTCTTTATATTCGAGTCACAAATGTTTAGTGATCTTTCATAAATGACAATATTTAGAGAGGAAGCCACATCGGCCCTAGCAGGTTTTCATGCAGGTCCTCTATTCTGGTCAAATTGGGAGTTTGAAGGTGCTGGTTTTTGCGGAGGGAGGAAAACCGGAGAGCCCGGCGAAAAACAACAAAGAGAACCAACAACAAACTCAACCCACATACAGCACCGGGTCGGCACCGGGTCGGGCGCCATCCCGGCTCCCCTGTCTTTCTGACATTTTATATTCCTCGATTGAGGATCTTAACCAAAATGTTCTTACAGACGCCAGTTAGGACCTCTTGTTATGACGGCCTATTTGTGATGTTAGAACTCCTGTGCCCTATTTTCTTCAGTATACAGTCGATATTTCTTCCTATTTATTCAAACCCAGCCTAGTAAGCAAATCTCTAGTACCTTCATTTCCCAGGGGAGCATAGAAGGTCCACCTAAATTCTTTAAATTTCGGCTTTAATGGATCTCCTTTATTTGGCAAGTGGTCTACCCAATTCCCTTTCTCTCAATCTACAAGAGGTCCTTGCGGTTTGTCAATTTTGTTTTTCTTTGCTTCTACGTATCTTTAAATGTCTTAGAGCTCTGTAATTCCAAGGCCGATGATCCGTCGCCTGGAACTTGTCGGGATTAATTTGACAACTTTTTCTGCCTATATAGGGCATTTGCATTACAGGTCAGCCTGTGGGTGGGGCATTGCCAAAAGTAACTCTGCCTTCCAGTCTGTAAAATATGTACATCTTTCGTTGTTTATAGGACAGCTTTGCCGGGAAAGACGTTCAAATCAAAAACGCTTGGCGTTTTTTATACTGCGAATGTACTTGTCAATTGCAAAGCTGCCTTACCACACGGGTAGTCAAATGTCGAAATATGAGCGTAAAGTCCCTTACAATATGAAATGCTAGTTGCTGCATTTTTGTTTAGTTTGTTACTTTTTGAAGGTGCATTGCTTCCTAAAACCATATACAATTAATTAAGATCGTTTTCGTTGTGAACAATTATTGTTTTCATTATCAGTTTTGACCAATTAGCTTGGAACTTGCTTACGAATTTCTAAGGGGTCTGATTAAATGTGTTCATGTGACTTCTTTTCTTGCAGCCTACTCACTCGTTGGCATTGTTTCTGAATCAATGTTTTCAGTTACTAGTTTATTATATACGTTAGAACGTTAGTGGATTTTACTGTTCTTCTTTCCCTACAGAAAACAAAGAATTGAGATCTGAACTCAGAAATGAACGGAAAACCAGCGCAAACCGTCAAAGAAGACTTACACGTAGCACAGGTACATTTAATAAGAAGTATATTTTGTAACATAGTAGCGAAATTTCATACGTGGATGCTATAGGTTTTCTTACATGACTACATCTTAAAAAGCTATAATGTATTTACCCGAAAGAAATGGAAGTAATTTGACAGAACTATATCACCGAAATACTTGTCCAAAACTTATAATGTGCGTTTTATGCTCTTTGATTCTTACAACGGAAAATTTTTGAATAGTTTACTATTTAGTATGGACCGTTCAACTTTGTCTACGTGGCACTAATGACAGCAGATCAGAGTAAGTAACTTGGCAGGAATGCAAACGTAAAATTAAATGTTTCGCAGGGTATTCGTTGAGGACAAAAAACTTGACTCTAATTTGCATTTACAGAGGTGACTCGACACTTCTGTTAATAACCTGAGTATCAGGCCTTTCTTAGCAAGAGGGTAGGGGTATGGGGAATTACTAGGAAAGGCCTTTCTTTGCCGGGTGCTTCCTCCTCCTACCTTGCGAGTAAGAAAAGCCGAAGACTCGGGCTATGCTCTTAAGGTCTCAGAAAAAAATCGTGACAGCAAGTTCCAGATGATTTCCTCAACTGCTGTTCTGCTTTCGAGATACGTTTGCTCGTATAACAAGAAAACTGGTTTGTTTCATCATCAAATTCAAACAGCAGAGTGCACGTGGTTTGGCATAATATTTTGTTTCTCTATAATTTTTAACCTTTTTTTCTTAAGTTCTACTGAGTGAAATTTTTGTAACAGAAATATTAGTTCCCATGAAGGAAACATTTTGTTTTTTTTTAACAGAAAGTACTTTTGTGTCCCTTTCAATCGAAAACTCAACGCCGTCTGGAATGGAATAAGTTAAATAGAAAGTGTTGGTTTAGTTCACTTAGTCCGTGTTTTCACGAGAGATGTTTACCTTGGTTTTGTTTTAACTTTACTGAAGTGAAATTTTTAATCGTGTAAACACAATAGCAAACNACGGCAAGGCCTCAGTTTGAGATTTTCCCGTAACGACCTCACTCTCGGTTATTAAGTAGTTAGTATTGTGAGGAACAATGAAAATAATAACTTTATTTACTCGTACATTTACAGTTTTCTTTTTATATCAATGAAATCTAAAGACAAAGAAAAATGTGTACTATATGAGTCTATATCCTGAAGTAACCAAGGGTTTTCTAGTCAGCCTCCAGGTATTATGTTTCTATGGAGATTTAAGAGGAAAAAAGTTATTAAGAGAATGAGATATGTACATAAAATTGGAAAAAGGAGCATATAGAAATATTACTAGTTTTCAGAATGTTGTTCAGACGGTAAATAAAGTTTCAGATATTTCGAGAAGTTGAAGGTATTGAGACCTTTTAGATGAGTAGGGATATTGTCCCAGAGAATATTCGCCGTATAAGCAATTAATTGTTTGTTTACCAGAATTGGTACGCACTTTAGATGCGTATAGATTTTGTATAGATGCATATCTGGTGTAGTATCCATGTACTTCACTGGCGTATTGAAAGAAATCATGAAACAAGCTTGGTAGTAGGCCTTTGTGCCAAGAATGCGTGAATTTCAGAGCTTGTAGTCTATAAACATTATTTACTGTGAGAACATCTAATAAGTTTAGCAAGGGGAGTGCGCTTTCAGTCTGGTCACCAAAAGTTCTTGCAACGAATATAAGCCTGATGGAATGATTTTGTTTAGATTGTACTTTATTGATGTGGGTTTTATACGTACTTCCCCACGCTAAGATGACGTGTAAAATGTAAGGAAAGATGATACTATAATAAAGTTGTTTCATTTGTGAAAGAGTTAAGAAGTGTCTAAGTTTAGCTAGTGTACCATTATTTCTTGAGATTCTAGTGCACACATAAGATATATGATGTTTGAATGATACTGTTTCATCGAGCAATACGCCAAGGTATTTGATTCGATCTTTACGTTCCAGTCAATGAAACGTACCATCTTCAATTCATTTTAACATTTTTTATATTAACTTCACAGTCTATTTTCTGTCGAGATTTAATGATCATGAAGTTAGTTTTTGAAAAATTGATTGACAATTTATTTATGTCGCACCAAACTTTTACTTTTTTTAATTCAAAATTCATTAATTGCTCAAGAGCCTTAAGTTCACGTGTACAGGGAAATACATTTGTATCATCAGCAAACATCCGAAATTTCAAAGTATCAGAACAGTTTGGTAGATCATTAATGTAAATTAGGAACAGCGACAGAAAAAGACTACTTATATTGAATTATTTATCTCTGTAGTAAAAGACGGCATACCCGCAGATGACGAATTAGAAAAGTTGGGTATTGACATTGGAGACATTTGGGTAAAGCTTGGGCGTCGCCTAGGTGTCAATGATGCAAAGCTTCGAGAAATAGATAAAGCTTATGAGCTACTGTCTGAAAAGGGATTCCGCATGTTAAAGCACTGGAAACAAAGCAAAGGTACCGGTGCTACCTACCAGGCTTTGAGTGACGAATTGCAACATGAATTTATACTGCGCCGAGATCTGGCAGAGAAGCTTTGTTACACTAAAGGTAATTATTTGCTATAATGTGTTAAATGTGGGTGCAGGATTCTAGTGGTTTTGAGTGGACTGGACTATGAATCAAGCAGTCTGGGTTGGAGCCCAGACAATCATTGTGTTCTGCTTTTAGGTAGCACAATATATTCTTCTCACAGTGCCTTTCATTGCCTATGCAGGTGTTAATAAACAGGGGAAAAAATCAAATTAAAATGAGGTTTTAATTTTTCTTTTTATGTCAGTTCAAGCTGTTTCACTTAGTTTAGGGAATTAATCTTTTTCATGAAAATGCACTAGATCAAGTCATGGAGTCACTCACTTAATAATCAAGTCAGTATGGGGTTTCCTGAAAACTAAGGCCTAAAACTTAAGATCCCCTTCCAAAGATACAGAAATCAAGACCAAAAATCCCCTCCTAGTCTCAAAGTGAAACTTTGAATGAACATCTGGGTGATTTTGCAGCCTAAAATTGTTTATTTACTTTTGGTAAGATCTGATCCCTGTTCGATCATTCATGTTAAATGGGCTTTTATATGTTGCTTGGTATATTGACAGGTTACACTGTCATGTTATTTAATGCACACGAACCGGCATCAATTTCAATGGATCATGGATGTAAATTAAAATGAAATAGAGCAAACGTACAGACAGCTAGCGTCTACAGAAAAAGTTGAATAAGAATTCATATATTTGAGTAGGTTTTTCACTTTTGCGTTATTTTATGTGCCTCATCTTCGGGCGTGAATTTTAATGGCTCTGTGTACGTGAAATAAGATATATATAGCAAATCTACGGATGGCTTGCGTCTGCCGTAAAACGTGAACCACGTTTAACGTTTTTCACTGATGCAAGTCGTCTGATCCAAACATTTGGTCTATTTTATTGCGAGGGAAACAGCCGAACCCTTACATGACAACTTCAAGCCTCGTTAAGTGTGTACCCTAAATTCTGGGGTCGTTGAGTATTCACGTGAATAAGAATTCTTTATCAATAAATAGTAAATGCCAAAAGAAACATGCCCAGAGTCATACGTCGGGAAGTACAATTTCATATAACTATCTAGTAAAATGTTCTCACTCATCATTTATTCAAAACGATGATCTGCCGACAACACGGCATGTTTCCGAAGACGAGGTTTCCGAGGTGGCAGCATCATAATAGGAGAAAAATCTCAAATTTTGCGCAAGCGACTCTCGTTTTCCATATTTGGGTGTGACGTCACCTGGCTGGAATTTATTCCTTGTAGCACGATTCGCGTCATCTTGTGTCGCGTTCGACGTTTCGGTCCGGCGAGGCAAGCTAACTAATGTTTCTTTCAAAGGGCTTTTAGG